TACATGTATACTCCACGCCATGTACACTGCGGTTCTATAAACACAGCAAGCAAATCGACACTGAGTGCCAGTTTGTTTCCACAAAAGCGTGTCAGGGTGTCTGTCTTTGTTTTCGCAAAAGCGGGTTACGAGTGTCTGTCAACGTTTCTGGGGTTTGTTTTCGCAAAAGTGTGTGAGCGTCTGTCAACCTTTAAGTTTGTGGTGCTCACAAGTGCGTCCTTTTTTCCACCAGATCAGATTCACATTAACTCCCCTTTTGGGAAAATTCTGCGATCCTGGGAAACCGAAGCAGAACGCCATGTAGGCCAAGACCCCGACACGCCTTGCGTCGGAGATTATTCCAGCAAGACCATTGGGCGCGTCAGCGCCAACAATGACCACCTGACCATTCTGTCAACGCCAGGATCTGTGGACTCCAGTTGATGGAGACATTCAAGCGGCCTGCAATCTTCATCGCAAGCTATTCCAGGTCTGGGCTTCACTAACCAACCATTGGTTTACTAGGAGTGAGCTAGACTTGAGAACAGAGTAGTAGACTCGATCCAATGCCTTGGTCCACGGAATGGCTCCCCGACTTTACATTGGCTTTTGACTTTGGCAAAAGCATTGAAGCACATCAAAACCCCATGAAAACAAGTGAAACTTAGGTGCTTTCGATGGATGAGGGGTCATTGACACCGGAATCATTGGCCCTATTAATGAAAGGACATTAAACCAATAGAGTTGCACCCATGAAAACAATTTTATAAAACTATCTAACACTAAAACTTTGGCCTTGTTGGAGGGACAGATCTTTGGTTAGTTGTTGGAGGGACAGATCTTAGGTTACTGAAGCCACATTCAGCACACAAAATCATACCAGCCACTTTCGTTTGGCAGCCACCAGTGATTTCTATACAGCTGGACGGGCTGCTGGAGGGTATTAAGCCGCTCCAAAATGAACGGCCTCAAATTTCCGATGGCCGATCTGTGATCTTGGTCGCCGCAAAAGGTGAAGGCACGGAAGGCTTTCAGGAGCAGCCTTCCCATGGCCAAAGCATCAGGATGATGCCTAAAATGGTGAAGAGCTGCTTCCACCAAATCTGCAAGCTTTCCTGAAGATTGTGGGTCAACGACAGATTCAATCTCACCCCTCATGACGGATTCAAAATTACAAAACGGAACCACCCCGTTTTAAACCTCACCAAGTTGCGAGTGTTGGAGCGGATGTGCAAGACGTCCTCCATGCACTCGTTGATGATCACCTTGATGTGAAAAGATCCTGGGTAGGCAGCTTGAAGATCGGCCACTCTGTGATAGTGCTCGTGAAGGTCAGTGATCTGGTCGTTTGAGAAGGCGTCCTTCCTCAGCATTTAACATTTCAACTACCAAAACCACCTACCACAGGGGCAACACGAATCCTAATTGAAAACTCGCCAAACAAACTAATTGAAAATTTCATGCAAACCCTGCCAGAGCTCATCAACACTATCAAGTTCACCATGCGTTGCGCTTTGCCAGTTCGAGTGAAGTCATTCAACTCCTGGAGGAAATCTGCCCAGCGCAAAGCGGCAGCCATTGCACACACGAAAAAAACAAACTGTACAGTGAGGCTGGAAACTTGGTCCATCAAAAGTTCATCCATCCATCAAGAGTTCTTCATCCATCAAGAGTTCATCATGTCTCTACTCATTTAGGTAAAGACCATGAAGCAAATAGCGCCAAAGCAAGCAGTTCATCAATTTTCCAACAAATGGCGGCTCATCACATATCGTTGGAGTACCAGCAGCGTTCACTGCCTGAAAAGGGAAGATTGTTCATACTAGATAATGATGTAAGAAAGGATGGTGTGGAAAATTACATAACTAAAACTACTAGTGTTACTAGTAGTGGTGGTTCATACTACTGGTGGTAGTAATAGTTGTAAAAAAGTAGTAGTAGTCGTCGTAGTCGATTTTGACTGTGATCATTTGATTTTGACTGTGATCACTCTGATGGTGATAGAGGTGTAAGTGTGAAGGTTGCAAATGTGTGCGTCGATGATCACTTGATTTTGACTGTGATCACTCTGTTGGTGATAGAGGTGTAAGTGTGAAGGTTGCAAATGTTTGCAAAGCATTGTGAACAGGGAAGTTTATCGAATCTGCAGATGATTTTGAGCTCTAGAGTTGGAGTATCTAGAATGGGCAAGTAGTTACAAACAACCGCCACTAGATGTTCAATCTATGAACACATCGTTCTACTACTACTACCTGCTATTACAACAACTAATACTGCTATTACTACTAGTGCTACTACCACTATCACACAATGGAAATATTCAGAAGTTTGCCTGCAAAGGTTCCAGCCGCAAGGTCCTGCAGGTCAAACAAAATGCTGCCCAAATGCAGGTCCAGCGCTGAGAGTGCAAGGACTAATGGCAATGCAAAACAAATGCAGTAAATCACAATCACATCACAATCACAATCACAATCACAAAACTTCGGAATGTTGCATTTTTTCCCCAAAGTTGCCACCAATGCCCCTGGTTTGTAACGCATCAATGCTACCCAAAATGAGGTGGCTACCCAAAATGCTACCAAACGCATCAATCAGCTCCGATTGAGCCATGGCCTTTTCTGGCCAGCATGATCCTGGACCTAAGATCACTTTCCATCCAAGCCGCGTTTGCCATCTTGAACTTTTGCTGCTGCGTCCACTCAGAGTTGTTCTTGTGCTCCTTAAAGAAATCGCCCATAAACTTCTCCTGAGCTGCTGCTGTGAAACACACGACATTGACAACCATATGTAACATAAGAGAAACAGGCAGTGTAGTAGGCGCACACAGGTGGCATGAATGGACTGACTCATTGATGAATGCTGTCAAGGGACACGAGCATCTTTCAGGGTGAGAGGTCTGGAACTGGAAGAACTCGACTCTTCAGCAGCAGCTTCAGGGGCAGCGGCAACAGGTGGTGGTTCTGCAGGGTTCTTCGGCACTCCCTTCGATTGAAAGTTGTTGTGCCAAATGTTGGAGTTCTCTATTGCCCGCAGGCGTCGCACCTCCTTGAGTTGCGCCTGCCCCTGCGGACTGAAATCCGCCAGTCGTGACCCTTTCTTGAAACGTGGATCCCGCAGCAAGTCCTCCTCTTTGTCAAATGCAACCTTCTTGTCATCAACCTCAGGCTCAACACCCTTCTTGTCATCCTCAGCATCATTCTTGACAACCTGGACATCCTTCTTGTTCTCGATCTCATCAGCCTCCTTTTTGGCACCATCACCACCAGTTGGAGCACCTGTTGAAGGGACGTTCTCGTCAATGTCGTCCTGGCTAGGAGTTTCGTCCCCCAAGATAAGAGTTTTCGCATCATCAAAATAGCAATTTGGTAGCTGCGAATCATTGTTTGGGCTCTGAGAAGGACCTTTCGGAGAAGCTCCATTTGGCACCTGCGAATCATTGAGCGGGGTCTGAGAAGGACACTTCTGGGAAGCTCCATCTGGCACCTGTGAATCATTGAGTGGACTCTGAGAAGGACGCTTCGGGGAAGCTCCAAAGTCAAAGGCACTCTTTCGCTTCAACTTGCGATTCCCAGGGAGCAAGGCGAGCATGGAGGCAGAAAACTCAGAATCTGGAGGAGTCCTTGGACACGCAGTTTCTGGCATGGTCACAACTGGCCTGGCCATAGACACCTGCATTGTCGTTGGAACAGGTAGGACACCATGGGATATGTTCGCAAAGCTTGACTGCTGCGGCGCATTGCCACCACTGAACTCAATATCCTCATCGGAATCAATCACGTGGGTCATTTCCACAGAAGCTCAAAGATGTGGCCGACAAGGATGTGTTCGCAAGGCTTTGATCCACAAGACTGACCAACAGCACACAGAAACAGGTTATGAAAGATAATGGTTGTGATGGCTTCGAAAAAGCTCAAAGACGGATTTTGAATCAAACGATTGAATGTGACTGAAAGTGGTTCTGACAAAGTAACATAAACATCAACTAGTTGAGATTGAGCAAAGGTTGTGAGAATGTAACGGCACAGATATTTTCTTCATCGTGATCTGAGCTGGACCTGTTGGCTGGACAACGTTTGTCCCTAGTACCCTGACAGTTGACCTCAACAGATCAAATCAAAACCTACAAGCGTGTTCAGTGGGCAACAACAATCATCGTAGTGCGACTATGAACTACGAAACAGGACTTTCAATTCTTCTAGAGACCATGTTTCATATGTTTCAAGCCACTGAAATGCAAAGTCACCTTTGCACACACTAAGCTGTAAAAACTCACACGATTCGCTGAACTCCATTCTTGTCCAAGCTCAGGCCTTCCACGAGGAACCACAAAGGCTTCGCTGGGGCAACCATAGACTCGTTCTTGTAGATGCGAAGCCTCCATGCCTTGTATCAGAACACATATTTACTGGCAGTCAGCCCCTGTCGCATCAGATTCGTATCTAAACAAACATTGTATAAGCTGCTTCCAAAATGCCAACTTCAGGGCTGGGCTCTCTCTCAAGCTCTGAGCGGAAACGAAGCTTGCTGCATTGGAATGCTTCAAGCTCTTCAGCTGCACTGAGTTGGCTTTCCAACACATGAAGGAACCGTCTTTGGGAGAAATGTTGAACCTTGGATTTGTTCAAGGCAGTAAAGTAAACACACACAGTGAACAATCGACATTTCCTTGATAACTTAAAACCTAGCTGACACACTGTGAGCAATCGACATTCCCTTGATAATTTAATGAATCCTAGCTACTGGTCGTCTGCATCGCCGCGCAATACATCTGATGGACGCTGGGCTGTATGGCCGCCCAACTCAAAGTCGACCAGGCCAGATGCCTCCACAGCTTGGAGGCATTCACGGAGAGTCTTCAAGGAGCTGTCTGACCCATCATCCTCCTGTCAAATCAAAGTAAAAGTAAAGTCGAAGTAGAAGTAAAGCAAGTAAAAGTACAGGCAAAGTAAGTCAAAGTAAAGCAGAAGAAAAGTCAAAGTCAAGGCACTTGCAACAACATCACTCCCAACCCCATCGAACAGTCATTGTTCATACATCAAGTGACCCCCTGCCTCCAGAATGCACAGGTGCTGGTCGGACTCAAACTTTGCAACATGAGCCTTGTCAGGGTTGTCTTGCAGCATCTTCTCAGCTTTGGTGTCAAGGAGCCAGGAGCCTGCTCCATGTGACAGAACCGGGCCCTCATTGCAATCAAATGTTCCAGCGACTGGAGCACAAAGGAAGAACTTGGGCCCTTCAACAACTTTGATCACAAATCCACTGCTTCCCGGAGCACTGATGGTCGATGACGGTTCACCGTACTTGGCCACCAAATCTGTAAGAGTGCGAGGCTCACCTTCAAAGATGTGCTTCCAAGGACTTGCATCCGTGGCAGGGGAACCAGCAGGAGTTGCAGGAGCAGTCGCGGGAGTCGAAGGTGCAGCAGCAGGTGGTGTTGATGCGGTTCCATGCAGCTTTTCAAAGCTCTTGAGCAGTTTCTTCCACTCTGCAGATCTCAGCGGGTCACCAAGAAACTTCTGCCGCACATCACTGGGGATGGTCAACTTCCCCTCGACTTCCTTGCACACAAGCAAGTCTGGAGGAGTCACTGTATCTGGGAGACCTGGGGAATCTGGCACATACCTGGCACCCTTGATCATACCTGAGTCCCTCTTCCATTCCTCCAGCAGGTGGCTGCGCAAAAGTTTTGATGCCAGCTTGTGGCACGCCAAGTCCACGGTGAGGCCGATCACAGGGCATGAAAGCTGCACCGCAGCCTTTTCCCAAGCTGCGTCATAGCTTGTGGCATGGTAGATGATGGTATGTTTCCCACCTAAGCAGTGCAAATCAAATGGATGTGGCTGCAAACAACGTTGATTCTGTACACAGTATGTTTTTGATTTTGCTATGATTTCACTATGACTGTGATTGCAAATTGCAAAGGAGATTGTGACAGAACTTCCACACAGTTGTTATTGTTGTTGTTGTCGCTGGCTTTGTGCATTTGTTTTGTGATATTGACGATTTTGACAAGATGACAAGTCGACAAGTTGAGGGCAGCACTGACACCACCAACACCCAAAGCTTCAAGCATCTTGAGTGGAATGTCGACACCTGACAACCATTGCGCGGTCTCCTGGAGGTCCGTGTAGTTCTTGCGCTGGTCATTCGAGGTCAGCTGCCCTTTGGTAACTGGGGCAACATACTCGTTCTCTGCAAGTGGGCTCGGCAATGGGTCAGGCAAGCTCTGGTAGCGCCAGGCATGTGAAGCCACGAACCTCAGTATTGACACATGAAACCAACATCGCAAAACAACTGTCAGGAGCAATCATGAGTTGATCAGATTCCTACACTAATCAGGTAAAGACTCCAGTCAAAATCAACCACAACCAATCAGATTTGATATTTGTTTCGAGCTACGCATTGATGTCTTCCTTCCCTGGCTTTGCTGGTGACGACTCAGAACCGCCACTGTGACCAGACCTTGGGAGTCTGTAGTTGACTCCTTTCAAAGGCAATGTGTGATCTGGGACGACCAACATCGAGCTATAGCAAGCAGGCTGTTCTGAGTTTCCATGGAGGTTGCTCAAATTGATCGCCAAGTGGAACGGCCGGAGCGCCAGCTGGTATTGCAACAGCTTATCTTCGATCCTCCTTGCGCCACTTGACAGACTGCAGTCAACCAAAGGACTTCCTTGAACCACTTGACAAACAGTCAGCCAAAGCAAGAAGCAAACAAAATCATTCAGTCCTTTGGTCCTGCCGTAGTGATGCTCCAGCAGCAGTGCCAGTGAGAAGTGGACAAATGACCACACCGATGGCACCTGATGCTGACGTTTTACAATGTGGCTGAATGCGACAATGTGCGGCAAATGTCAAAGCAAATGTGGCTGACATTTTGAACGCAACCCGTCCAAGATATTGAAGTTTAGGTACGGAGGGGGTTCTTGGCGAGAACGTTCGACATCCACTGTGCATGTTGGTTGATGTCTTGTTGCCCGATACAGCCAAGCTTGGTAAAATCAATCACAGCCACATAATGGAGATCATCCATCGCAATCTGGCAACATTTGAAAGAACTGCACTTTGGCAATGTTTGAACAAATACAATCAAATTGTTGAGTATGCAGTGGCAGCTCAACACAGTACTCAACAGGCCTGCCATTCTGCAGCGCTCCTCCTGCAGAACTTCTCGGATGACGGTGCGTTGTTGATGTCTGGGACCAGTTGAATCATGCAACTAGCGCCGCAGAACTTTTCCACAAGCCTCAGTCAAACGAGTTTTCAAACGAACTTTTCCACTAAAGTCAAAAAGTTTTCAAAAGCACCCCCCAAAAAAGCGTGGAAGGAACCAAGTAGATCTTGAGCCAAGTAAATCAAGGAACTCCAGCCCCTTAGCATTTTGCTCCTTTGCATGCTGAACTTCAACAACATGCGCCAGGCTGGCTCGCTTGGTCTTCGCTGCGTTGAAAGCCGTCCATGCGCATTCATCCTTCCTGGTCAGGGTACATGGAACAACACCAAAACATGAGTTATTGAGTTATGAACCACCACTACAAAGCATCAAAACAACAGCTGTCATGAGAAACAAAGCTACGCCAAGGTTCGCAATTTTTGCCTTAAGTGATGCAAAGGCTGCATTTTCCAATTCCTCTTCTTTCTCCTCCACAGTCTTCTCATCAACAGCAACTCCCATTGCTGTCGCCGGCGTCTCCCTTTGCACCATCTCAGTCCACAAGCAAAGGTTTTTCACAGTCCATCCGGCCGGCTCTGCCTTGATGATGGCTTCAATCTCTTCGAAGTAGTCCCTAGCGATGAGTACCCAGGCTAAAAATTGACTGTGAGTCGGGTTTGTGTTCGCTTGGTATGTATATATATATACCGTATATACCCTAGAAAATATTTACCACATACTACCCCTTACTACCCAAAAATGTAGTGAACATGAGAGCAAGTGTACACAGTTTATGTACATGTTTACCGAACATATTCTGATTCAGAACTACGATTGAGAAACCACGATTGAGAAACCAAGATTCAGGGTGGAGTGTATAATATATCATGTTTTGCTTCCTCGCGACATCTGCTATAGTTTCTGAATCAGGCGGTAGTTTCCGAACCATAGTTTGATGTTGCATACACATTCAGTTAGATACAAAAAGGAATAATAACTGTACCCAAAATGATTCTGTGAGTCATCAGTTGGTTTTGAAAGGGTCACATGATAGACCTGAATGTGACAAAGTGTTGAGTTGTTGAAACCTGTGATTTACGAATTGCCTGTGATTGGATGAGTCTGAGTGTGATTGGATAGAACTCTATAGATTAATTTGCGCCAAGAAACAGGTCCAGAAATGCCTTCTTGATGGTTTCCAAATCCGGAGCGTCTGCCAAGAGAGAAGCTTCTTTCAAGACATGTGCGTAGATGCAGGCGAAATTGATGTATGCGTCCCAGTCTTGCGCACTCAGCCTGCACCGCGGCCTCTGGTTCGGTCGGACTTTTCGCGTCTTGAGGTGGAACTGGTGAAAGACCAAGGCCAGGAACATCTCCTGCGAAGTCTCCGTGACTGTGAGCAAGACTTTGAAGTGAGGCTGGCATCCACGCGGCACAGCTTTCAGAAGCCATCTCGGCTTTCTCAAAAGCTCCGATGTGAGGGCGGATTGGCTCCACTTGAATTTGTGAAGATGGTTGGCAATGAGTTCCCTGGATCCCGCCGATGTTGCTGTAATCATGTTCAGGATGCTCTGGACCTTATCTTCGTCCAGGAACCATTTCTGCAGCATCCCATTCGTAGAGTGGAACTCCTGGACCACCTTACGAAGGCGGTCTTCCGCCGACCAATCCTTCGAATGTAGGCCCTGCATGGACCGAGTTTCCATGATGGCGGAGAACCGTAATGACATTTGAAGGACATTCGGCGGCTGGCGCTCGCCGCCGCGAAAGCTCAGCATCATGTTGGTATAGCTGGATGCAACAGCATCCATGTTCATCCTGACCTCAGGAAAGCCCAGATTGAAAATCACAAGTGAAAGCAACATTCACAAGCACATCATTCTCAAATATGTCTCTTGGGGTTACACATTCATTGACAATCACAATCACAAATTATTGAACACATCACAATAATACCAGAATCAATCAGGCCACACAAGTTCATATGTAAGATCATGAATCCAAGGCGCATGGACTGGCAGTAGCCACCCCTTGTCCAAGAGGTTCGCAAAAGGCTCCAGAACCTTCTCGCTTTCAGGCGTGATGTCATTGTCGCTTGCAAGCAACAGGCCAAATGCGATGCACTGAACCTTGGTGTACCCTTTGACTATGCGGATGCTCAGTGGCGTTATCTCGGCTGACTGTCCTGTCTCCAAAATTTGATCTCCAAACATGGTCTCTCGTGCAATGTTTTGGATACTGGGGATACATGAACATTTGCACGAGGCTGCTTGCGCAAGATGAAAGCAAAAAGCAAGCAGTCCTGCAGGCACATCCACCTTGGCTCACCAACAGCCAAACGAAACAGTTACGATGTCAAATTCACTACAGTCACGCATGCGCAATCCATCTTTAAGACCCTTGCTGTCACATCGATCGGCTCTCTGGACAACTCCACCCCTGAAAACAGCATCCCTTCAAAGACCGTGAGCCAATCTTCCAGAACTGGCAGTCCGTCATCTGGAAGGCTGTGCCTGAGCTTAAGAACAGAGCACATCGTATGCTCAACATTGTTACATTGTTCAACCAAGAGCAACCGACTTTCGGATTGCCTCCGAGACACATCAAAGCGGTGATGGGCACCTTGATGACATCACCATCCATGTGGCTATGGATTACCTTGCAAAGAACACATTGACATGTAGTTGTTTGGAAGAAGTCGTGGGACAATGGGAAGCAACAAATCATACATGCGTACATGCATACCTGCAAAGACACACGCATGCAATCATAGACGCATACAAACATTAAAACCTACATACTCACAAACATACAACAAACCAAGTAAATAAACAATCAAACACACAGGCAAACAAACAAAAATAAGCGAGCAAACAAACAAGCAAACAACCATACCATACCATACCATACCATACCATACATACATACATACATATGTACGTACGTACACACAGAAAGACACCATTGATGCCAATGTGAATGCATGAAACCATTCAGTATGTTGTATAGTTTGTATTGTATAGTTTGTAGACATCTCTGTGTGGTATGATAATGGTATTTCAATGCAAAAAGGCAACATAAACAGGGTCAATGTGATCAAAAAGACGTTGGGAATGTGTTTTGACAAAGGCGCCAATCCTTGAAGCTCTTTGAACATGACTTGATGTCCGTTTGAATTCCGCATCTTGGCATAGTCTTGGAACCACGCTTCAAGTCCAGCCGCATTATTCTGCACCACCTCCGAGTGCCTATCACCCAGGGCATGTAAGACTGCCTCACCTGGGTGCAAAGCTCCCTCAAAAACTGCGGTGTCAGATTTCAGCAGTTGCAGCACACCGAGGAGCTCCTGCTTCAAAATTACTACACATCACATTCAAGAATCTGCGCATATCAAACAACTTGTTAAACAAATCTGTTCATTCAGTTGTGTAATCTTCTGAAGTCTCCTTCATCACAGTCAGATCGCCTGGCATCTTCTTGAGTTGCTTCTCATAGGGTGTGCACAGGACCTTTGCAGGCGGCCCACTCTCCACCTTTTCATGTTTCTTGACCAGGTCCATCCATGGCTTCATTGCCATGATTGCAAGGCAACTGGACCAGCTCGGGCCCAAGAAGCTCTTGAGCACACATACAATAACATACGTTCCTGTACGGGGTACATTGATTTTTTAACATGATTTCGTTTTAAAATCAATCGACCTGTGCCCGGCGGCTACATTGATCCTTTCACTACGTAGGGTCTGAAGATTGATTTCAAAACAGAAACTGAACATTGAAATCAATCCCCAATGTCTACGTTCTGAAGAAATCAATCGACCCGTGCCCGACGGTTACATTGACTTTTATGCTGGATTTTGAAAAAAAGCGATCGACCTCGTCCTTACGCCTGATTCATGGACATATGACAAATCAGCTCGGTCCTCCAAATCCATGGCCAGATGATCCCTCCTGGTCAGTCGCTCAAAATCTTTGAAAATCAATCGACCCGGGGCCAGGGGCTACATTGATTTGTTGAAAATCAATCGACCCGGGGCCAGCGGCTACATTGACTTTCTCGATCCGAGGGGGGGGG